GGAATTGCTTTTGGAAAACTTAGCTTTTTGTTCATTATCTTCTAGCATTTCATCATATTGCTATGAGAAAATGTTTTATCCCAAGTAACAATTCAGTAACCATTAAGCATCCACTCTGATTTATGATGGTTTTATAACGGCAATGAACAATCAATTTAGTTTAAATATAGCATTTTAAAGTGTAAAACATTCCTGCTTAGTAATTCAGCTTTTTGCTGTTTTAACAACCTTTTACAGTCTGGCAGGAAAGTTAAAAACTGTCTTGTTTTAAAAATAAATTTAAAACAGTTATCAGTCCCTCCATAAAACTGTTCTGTTATTCAAGCATAAACGTCATTAGCAATTGTTTATTAATGTCATGATAAAATTCTTTATAAACGTGTTCTATCATTATAAAAGCAACCATAAAACAATTAGGTTTTGCATTAGAGAAAAAAGCATTTATTGCTGCTTTAACTCCCCAATTAATTTGTTTACAAATTGAGGTTAAAAGATGGTTCCTCGTAGTTAATAAATGCCAAATTTATGACAAGGAAATCTCGAAGGATAGACGAAGTAGGATGAAACAATCAAGTCGATTTCAGATAAATTTACTTCTTTAGAAGAACCAGCACACCACCAACGACTGACCATCTGTCGGAGATGAGTAAAGTGAGCGGGGCCCCCGAACTCATAAAACATTGTCTAAAGTTGAAAACATACCAGCCTTCTCCAGATCTTGCGATGACAATCGAAATAACAACCGACAGCAAACCACTGAAACTGTTAGTTAGCGGAGATTAGCTGGTTTCCGATCCAAAGCAGCGATTTTATTCGGCGAAAGACTCTTCGAAAATTTCATTCAACCGTTTACTCTGCATCATGTAACCATCCGGAAGAAGGGGATCTTTTTCGGGAACGATTGCGCTTCCAGCTGTTTGAAATGCGAAATGTTGTAAAACAGTATCGCAAACTATCTGAGTAACTGCTCCCAATCCATCGGGAGAAAATCGCCTGGAAGAATCTTGGATCTCACAGCGCAACTATCGAAAGATAAACAAACTTTGACGTTTAACTTTTTGCAGGCAACTTTGCCTCCATAAATGCTGCCATAAATCTGAACGGGTTAGGATCAAGCAAAATGGCTTCAGATAAATACAATTCAGCCTGCAAGTTTTCTTCATAAAAGGCATTTTAAAACCTTATTAATTTGTTAAGGAATTCTTTAAAGCAAAATAACTTTTTCACAAATTACCCATGAAAATCAACTTTTATGCCACCGCCATGTTACAATTAGTTTGCTTGTTTTTTTACAATCTTTGATTTTCAATCTATATTTCCTTAGATATAACTATATTTTGGTAAATTTAGCAATGAGCAAACATTTAAATGCGAAAATAATAAAAAAAAAATCTCGACCAAGCTCGATCTGAAGAATATTTTTTTTTTTTCAATGTTAAATAATTAGTCAAATCGACGTTTTACGAGGGTGGGCTTAATTTTTTCGATGTTTTCACGTACATTTCACATACAATTTGATATGGCACTTAAAACTAGGCCACTTAATGAGATCTATTTTAATAAATTTGGATTTTCAACAAGATTTTTATACCATTAGTTTCTATATTGATTACTATGATAAGCCCCGTAACGTGGGTAGATCACCTTTTCGTGGTACGTTACGGGATGTAAGATCTACCACCGATTCCTAGTCCTAACTTCTTCAAACTAGGGGAACAGGATTTTTCAGTAATCAAAGGAACATATCTTAGTCCTTGTTACTTTTTATGCCTTGTTGATAGTGATAAGTCCTCGGGTTGCCTGGACCGAGGATGATCTTGAAACAAGGGAAAAATGAGTTAGTTAGTCTTCATCTATGTGATTCCTAATCTTCTAATCGTTGTTCCCTAGTTTGAAGTGGTTAAGACTAGGGTTCTGATGCATGGTCATTATCGGTGTCATAGCTTGTTTTTGTTGTTAAGGAATCCAATTTTGACTGCCAAAGGGGCGCGCCTTTGGAGGGTGTTCCAACTCCGAAGGGTATAAATAGCGGAACCTTTCAGTTAGAATCGATTCCTTGCGATGAAGGCAAGAATGACAACTGTATCAAAACCGAATACTTCATCATTTCTCAATAGTGATGGAGTAATACGACATGCACTAAACTAAGGACACGGGATATACTACAATAGATCAAATTACTGGTCGCAGTGGTGTTATGTCCCGAACAGAGGAAAAAAAAAATGATAAGCTCGGATTCATAAATCCTTTTCTATCTTGATTGATGCTTTCCTAGTGGATTCAGCATGCGGCTAGGGGAAATGGCTCGGAAAGGGTTTTTATTGTTGCTAAATAGCTTTTGTTGTAGCTTTCAAATGGTTCTCAATGCGTTCGTCATACAACTTTTTGCAGTACATCAATATTGAAGAGCTTCGAGAATACACCCTTCAGAACCTTCTCCAGGGTGGGCCAACTAGACATATTCTAGTCTTAATGAGGTTTTGGTGGATGCATTAATGACAAAATAACCTTGACCAGGGTTTTATGAATGTTGTTTTATAGTTGCTTTGTAGTATTTCATAAAACCTAAAATGTTACTTGGGATGTTTATTTATATATGAATTCCAAAACATTTTTTAATAAAACATCAAATGAACACGTTTCCGACCACTTCTCTGTAGACACAGGAAAGAGTTCTAACTTGGGATAACAGGGATCTTTGTGTGTGCCCATAATTTCTGAAGCGGTCTATAAGGGAGAATGATAGGACCCGATTTGGAACGGGTTGATCACTGAGAATCAAAAAACTCACAATTTGCATTTGTTTTATTCTCACATCATTGTGAAAAACGTGATACGATAATCAGATTTACAATAATTAAAAAAAATGTGTTGATAAAATTGGACCCAGTACATTTAGAGCAGGGCATTAACAATTTAATAAATGATTAATGATTAAAGTAGCCAGTGCAAAAGGTGTAGGTAAGCGTGACTGGTTTCTCACCCCAACGGGTCTGGGTTCAATCCCAGGTCGGTAGGATTTTTCTGAGGCATAAACATCTCTAGTCACGTCTTCCTTCGGAAGGGAAGTAAAGCCGTTGGTCCCGGCCCATGTGTGTTTGAATGGATGCGATATCCTACGCATGTGTGGAAGCTACCTTCCTGCATATTGGATTGCCGTCAATGGATGGCAATCGATGTCCGTCGGTGATTGGCACTAGATTGCGGAACAAAGACCGACGTTAAATAACGGAATGAAGAAGAATGAAGTAATGATTAAAGTTAATCATAAGCATTTAGCATGGTTTTATCACCAACCTTTAACCACCATCACAATGAGGTAATGGATCGAATCAATGATAGAAATAGAAATTTTAGGCAATCATTAATCATTAATCGCTTAAAGCTCTGAATTAAAATATTTTATTTTTGTATTTTAGCCACTGACACATTTAGGTCATTCGTGACTTGTCCAGGGATGAGATTTGAACTCGTGATCTTTAGCGTGAGAAACATGGATGTAAACCACAACGCCGGGTTCACCCAAAAACATTTGGATTTGATGCTCCTTATATCACTCTAAATTTGTCCAATACATGAGATAAACTGGCTGCAAATCTCGATACTATATAATACCAAATATTCCCAATATGGAGTAAATTCAGAAGTAGAACGGAGTTCTGTCCTCTAATGGCTTGTTAAATAGCACACCAAATAAAAGGACGTGTTATTAACCTGAATATGATGCTTGCACGACATTCATGCCCACTTAATTCATGCACTTAGTTTGCCACTTTCTCATCATAACTGGTGACAGTATGATTTGGTCTTTTAAGCTTATTGTCATCGATGATGATAATCACAGAACCATCATCGTCTATACATTTATGTGATTCACCCTAGAAGTCCAGATTCGTGATTGTTTGTATTCTTTCGAATCGAAATTGAGGCGATTGCTCACTACACCATTCAACATAAATGTTGAGGAAACGTCTCAGATTTGAAACAGTGCCAGCACTAGTTATGCTATTCAGAATTAACATATATAAAAAAGATTTTTTTTTCTAAACAAACTGAATGAATTGGCCTCGTTTTCCGACTTAAAGGCATTCTTCTAATCATTTAGCACATGCACAAAGTGTAGCATGACAAACACGAAACTATGTCATAGAGTGACACACAAAAGAAACATTGTCACCCGAAAAGGATGGAAGATTATTGTCATTTATTATTATTTTTATTATTTTTAGTAGAATTATGATGATTTTTATTATTATTATTATTATTATTATTATTATTATTATTATTATTATTATTATTATTATTATCATTATTATTATTATTATTATTTTTATTATTATTATTATTATTATTATTATTACTATTATGATTATTATTATTATTGTTGTTGTTGTTGTTGTTGTCTATAAATGGGACTCAAGCTGTTCAGCTAGAGCCACTGAATAATTACTGTACCTATAGAGACTCTAGGTTTTACCTTTTTGGAACGTCATCAATTTCAACCGATATCTTTTAAGAACGATAAAGTGCCATCTGCATCGATTGTGGCAGTGTCCTTTTGTTTTCACCTTTAATTATTTTGCTGTATGCCATTACGTTCATAATATTTCACATCTATATGAAAAGATGAGCTGTGCAATATCTCTATATGATGAAATCAAAATAGTACTTGTGATACACAAATACAAACACAGCATACTGACATGCAAAAAATCGTCTAGAGAGACGTTTTCTATACAATTACACAAAGCATTACGCGGTCCCCCCAAAGCATAGTTCTATTTGCTTTATAAAAAATGTTATGCAATCTTAGCCTGTGACCAGCAAGTGATTGTGTTTCTTGAATTGATGCCTCCAAGGGTTGACAAATAGTTCAATTTTTCGTAAATGGAATAAAAAAAAACTCCTGCACTTGGACACATATTCAGAGTTGAGTTAAATTTGGGATAATTCGATAACGAAAAAAAAAAATAAAAACAATCATGAGCTGCAGTACTTACATTTTGGCTGTAGATAGCAATGCGCAGGCTAGTTTCAATACTCAAATAATCATATATTCTTTCCTTTTCAGCCATATATTAAGAAATCAAATATAGATCATCACATAATTAAACATTCTGCCTTCCACAAACGTTATCCTTGATTAGTTGCAGCACAATCACAATAGCAGATAATCCACAATAACTGTACTTTTCATTTTTTCATGTTTTTATCGCTCACTGATCAATTCCGATAGAAGAAACCTTTTCATTATTAATGTGTAGTAGCATGCACTAATCACTCTGCTGCTTCTTGCATCCATGATTTTTCCATCATTATTTTTACCTTCACACTGACGGTTTTCAATTTTTTTTTTAAATAATCAGCAGATTTTTCTAGCGATTCACAAATCATGTAACACTAAAACACTTTTTTTGTCGCGAGTGATTTTCTTAAATTTTCCATTTATCTTCACTCGATTCATTTTAGGAGCTGCCTCCATCCTCTTAGAGATAAGAATAGTCCGTGTTTCTTTTCGATTTTGATTCCGCATCGATGACAGCACACCACTTCAGTTTATCCAGCGGAAACGGAATTCATGAACAATAATTTTATCTTTAATCGATGTTGATTGTGCACACCTACAAAACAAAATCAGAAGTAGTTGACGTTATTTTTCAATCTTACATGTTAATTAGAAGAAAAAATCGATAAAAACCCCCACAAAGCATTCTATCATCTAAAGTAGTTGATGCATTGGCATGAGATATGCACATTTTCGTAGTGTTGCCATGTTTTTGAAATTTGATATTTGTAGTCCCCGCTTTTTATAAATCTTGTGTTCTAACCAGTTCTAGTATGTTTTATGGAGACGTCGTTCAGAATAATCATTTACCAAAAAATAAAACTAGAGTACACCGTCTATCTATTGGAACCATCTTTTGCGTTCAGCTTTTCAAACTAATCAATAAATTATTGAACCGCAACAAATCTACAAACCTACTGTAGAACTTTTTTCACGCTGCTTTCGTTAATAATTTTAGCATTGTCAGTCACTTCACTATTTTAAAATGGTGTCCTTCTGAATCCTATTTTGAAAACTTCAGAAACGAAACATACATAAAGAAGGAGATGTGAGCAACGCGACGGCAAACATTGAACTGAAACTGATTTTTCCGTGCTCGTAGGAAAGGAATAAAACTAGAATCATTCGGGAAAAGTGTTTTACTATAACGAAATATTTATTAGACTCTGTTCAACGCTAACTTTTCCTATGCTATTGCTGGTGTTTCAACTTCTGTATGTATTCTGCTGATGCTCATGGTAGACCTGACCTGGCGCTTCTGCTGTTGGTACCGACATTTTCATTCTCGCGTTTTGTTGCTTCTCTTTCCATTTGGGTTTTCCACTTTTGTGCCGTTTTTGGAGCACACAGCATAGCACAGGGTTCCGTGTGTTTTTCAGTGAAAAAAAAAATCGAAGACAAGTACATCTGATACTCAACAAATAGAGACAAAAAATCATCAACTAATTCTATATAGATGTTCACAAATGCGCGTTTTTTATATTTTGCGGTATATTCCATATTAAGACATTTCAAATCAAAAGAGATTCTTTTCACTATCTCTATTGATAACAAATACTTCTTTCACTCCTTTGATTGGGTGTTTTATTCATCAAAACCGTCACACAAACAAGTAAGATGTATTACATTGTTGAAAATTGATGAATTATTGTACATCTTTATTGAATAACATGCACATTTTCCTACCCATCATCTGCAACTAATTTAAGCACAAAAATATTTGGGAATGTCTCCGACCGTTCTTTGTCCATGTTCTAAATAACAAATTGTGCCAACCTTAAATTTATGCAAATTTATAGGTCGATGTGTTAATATCGCATTTACCAAGCGTTAATTTTTTGCTATTATTTTATGATTTCGTGAGCTGGTAACAGATATGTGACCTGTTTTGCTTGTGTCGGGATCCACACATCTATATCTCTTTCATTTTGTTTTTGCCTTTTTTCCTATCGATATTTGATGTTCAAACGCGACACTCAATGCTTGATAAATTGGAACTATTTATCGGAACTCAAACGAACCAATTTAAGACTAGGGATGGCTGCGATGAAAATTGAGTTTTTCAGCAGCCAAAACACAACTATAAGTCTACAACCACGTTTTTGGAATCTTTAGTGTGTTTCTTTCACTATGCACATTCATCGTATTTCTATCAGTAAGACAAACGGGAAAGCTTTGCATAAACGTGGATTCCCCTCCAAGTGTGATAGAAATAAAGCAAAGTGCTCGTGGAAATTCGTGCGTTGTCGTCATCATCGCATAGTTTCGTTCTAGCTTCTGACATGCGCATTCATAGGAATTCTCCCGTTGAGCAATGGTATTGGGTAACAAAAAGGATAACACAATATGGGAAATGCATGAATTTCACGAATGTAAATATTGAAACATACGTCATATGTGGATCTCACACGGTGGTATTATTGCCAAAATTTTCAGCAAAATTTTTTTAGAAAAGAGTTTATGCTAATTTTTCTATTGCTGCTTGATGTCCCAAAAGCACAGCTGCCAACTGCTGTACCTTTCAAAGGTTACAATAAATGTATAAAATTAAAAATATTTTTTTTTATTATTTATTTATACTTTAATTTAACGAACCTTACCAAGATTTGTATACAATCATGATGTTTATGTTAAGTTATGTTATTCTGTAAATATTTGCAAATTAGCTATTGAGGTTTTATTTTAAATAACTGAACAAGTTTGGGCCGAAGGGTCTTTGATTCCTATGAAACTTCGCCCATAGGTAGAGTTGTTTTTTTTTTCTTTATTGAGGAGATTTTCAGCCGTAGGCTGGTTCATCTCCGAATAGGTAGAGTTAATGTATTATTTAATAAAAGTAAATTTAAAATAATCAGGGTTGCCCATTTTTCCGGAAAAGCTTAGTTAAAGTTTTCCAATTTTCTTAGCCACTACCAACTTAAATCATAATTTTTGAACCAAGCATTACACAGTCTATGTAAATTCACGCTCTCGTTGTTCGAAGACCGGTTACGCATCCTTCGCGCCGCGTTTCAAAGCGTATTGATAGACGTTTTGTGCGATAATCCGTCCACGAATTGCGGCCAGTATCCGCGTTTCTTGGCTTTGATGAGGCTCTTGAGTTCGTGTTCAAGAGCCGAGTACGCTTCGAAATGCACGGGTGTTCCATGTTTCCGGAGAAGCTTAAACGCGTCGGACTTTTTACGATAAACCTCAGTGCATTGGTGGTCCCACCAAGGGGAAGGAGGTTTTCTACGGAAAGACGTTCCAGGAACCGGCCGAGTTTGAGCTCGAAGCGCGCTGTCCAAGATCAAATTGGAGAGGAAGTTATATTCCTCCAACGGTGAAAGCCCTTCTACCGACGACACGGCTTCCTCTATCGCGGTCTTGAACGTTGTCCAATCGATATTACGGGTGAGGTCGTACGCGAGGTTAACGGATTCCGACGGATTGAACCCACTGGCAATCGAAATTTTGATCGGCAAGTGATCACTACCGTGGGGATCTTGGATCACATTCCACGTGCAATCCAACGATAACCCAACAAACATTGAATGCTGAATATGAGCTTATACAGGCCGAAATTTGCTTCTTCTGCTAAAAATTGGCATATTCAGTTTTTAATCAGCTCAAATTGTTTGTTGGGAATGAGTTAGAGCAAAGTGTGAGGTCTAATTTACTTCCATTTGAGGATGGACCAGCCAAACGTGTTACTTCTCCATTGTTAAGAATTGTCATATTGAAGTTATCACAGAGGTCATATATAAAAGTAGAACGGTTGTGTTCATACAGTTCCCCCCAGCCTGTACCGTGGGAATTAAAATCTCCCATAATGAACCGTGGAGCAGGAAGTACCGAACATATATCTGAAAGTTGTTTTCGATTAACAACGGCTCTAGGAGGAATATAAACAGAAGCAAGACAAAGGCTCTTAGCTTTAAAAATAGCCTGACATGCGACAAATTCAATACCTAGAAATTGTGGAAGATTCACTCTGTAGAAGGAATGGCACTTTTTGATCCCCAAAAGTACCCCTCCTCCACGCGAATCCTCACGATCCAGTCGAATAATGTTAATATCATAAAAAGGAAGATCAATATCTGAAGAGAGCCAAGTTTATAAAAAGGGCAAATGCATCACAATCATTATTGTGAACTAAAAACTTAAAAGTTGAGTCTAATTTAGGAATAAGACTTCGGCAATTCCACTGTAGAACAGTGATCAAATCCCCGACCTCGTTTGGAAAATTATCCATCGAAGGAAATGATTGCTGCAAGGAGGGGCTACTTCAATGTCAATTGCTTCAAGAGGGTCTTCACAGTAGGAAACATTGCCAGAACAATGCTTTTCAGAGCATCAGAAATATCGAGATACTTGAGGATACCGTCCACAATGTCAGCAAATGAGAACAACCCACATGAAGAAGGGGCTTCTGTTCTTAAAAATGGAGCATCAGGGGTTTCGGATGTCCCCGGGAGTGGTGGACAATCCTGGGTACACACCCATTTTTTATTGCTGGAATACAGCAATATTTTGCTGGATTTTGTCGAGCTGGAAGTTCCAAATCGTCGCCTGAAGAAGCAAAAGAAACCTGTTCATTGTGGTCCACCTTCCGCAAAGGAACTGCAGATCGCGGAACGCTACGTGATACGCCAAGCTCAACGAGAAGCCTACCCAGACGAAGCAGCTATTCAGAAACCGGTGAACGGATCGCCGGAGCCCATTCCCAAGACCAGCCCGTTGTTTAAACTGACACCCTGGCTGGACGACCACGGACTGATTAGGATGCGGGGAAGAATTAGTGCATGTAGGCTAGCCACCGAAGATGCTAAAAACCCAATTATCCTCCCACGTGACCACCACACTATCAATCTTATTATTGCACACTATCACACTAAGTACCACCACCAAAACCATGAGACCGCTATAAACGAGGTCCGACAGAGGTATTGTATACCTCGACTACGAGCGACCTACGCGAAAGTACGCTACAACTGCCAACACTGCAAAAATCATCGCGCAACCCCACAGCCTCCAATAATGGTCGATCTCCCTCTAGAGCGACTCGATGCCTTTGCTCGACCCTTCACCCATATTG